GATACTAACCTCTAGGAGAATGACACATTGCGCATTCTCAGGCTAACATTCTTAGCTGACATGAAGTGGAAAGACTATATGGAGTCCAATGCTAGGGCAGCTGCTAAGTTAATTCACGATGTTGTGCTAGAAGATTTTTCTCTCTATAATTTATCTTGCATATCTATAAGTCTATCATTCATCCATGATTACAATATTGCTGCCACATATGATCTGGCGCTTCCTCTAGAGATCCTCGATAAAATCCAAAGATTCAGCAATATTGGCCCTGATCTGACTTCTCAGCTTCAGTCACTTTCCCACTGCCACAAATTTGCCTCCCTGTGCCTTTTCTATAAATATTTTCATGGTAATTGTCCAGATGAGCTCTATCACTATGGTACATAGACTTTATGAATTTAAGAGCAGTACTAGACTGGTGACAACGTCTCATCAATTTACAATTGAGTTGGCTACATGTAACCATGAATTCTATGCTAACAGTTTCTTGTCTCACTTGTGGAAGTCCCTTTCTGTTCCATGCTTTCCAGTCAACTTTAATCTACAAAAATTTAAATACAATGTCAATCGCTATCTACTTTCCTCCTGATTACTCTTGATTTGTTCTCATTCCTTTGTAATATTTATGTTTTATAATACTTCCACAACCAGTAACCCCTTGTGTCTTTAATGTCTTTCTTGGGGTGAAGTCACCTAAAAATATATATATATATATATATATATCTCAACCCTATGTACAAGATACTAGATTTAAGGAAAAGAATTCCAGCAGAAATACTGTAGAATACACAAACCAGCCAGTCTAGATAAAAAAAAGCATCTAAGGACATCAAAAATAAACCTCTCCCTACCAATAGTTAAAAATTATAAAAATCTGCTATCACTAATCAATGGCATTTCACATTTAACAATTTTTATAAACAAAAATTTAGATCACCAATGGGATTGCCCCTAAGTAGAGTGATGGCATGTATTTTCTTAGAATATCTTAAATCTACCCTTTTCAAAATATTTTACTTAACAATCAACACATACATTGATGATGCTCTATTAATATAGCCCCATGGTACTGATTTACTTACTCTTGTAAATCAACTAAAAAAAAGTTGAACATACAATAAAATTTACAAATGAAATGGAAGTAAACCTTATTTACCTTTCCTAGATTTCATGCTACACCATGTTAACAATAGCTTAAAGAAAATCAACTAATAAAAATGAACTCATCATAAAATAAAATCCAGAATAATCTACAGATTCTATTTAAGAACACTCAGAATTTGCAGCCCTCAGTATTTACATGAAGAGGAGAAATACATTAATACTATCAAGTTCTTACAATATCCTTTTTCATATTCAATGTGAAACAAAAGGCTCATATAATATTTCAAAATAGAAAAGTGGTCCTTCCTGAAAAAAACCCAACAAATCAAAATATATTGTTTTACCCACCAATTCTATCACTACAATTGAAAAGAATTAATAGAAAATAAGTTAAAACTTAAGAGGAATTTACTCTATTACCTGTAATAATTGCCACAAGGAATACATTGGAGAAAACTTAAAAGAAGACTATATGAACACAAAAAGGGTATTTTACAAAAAAAATTGTTCTCTAAAAGAGAAAACATGTTACTAAGACAAAAATGATTAGAAAGTGCTTTAATCAGATCATTCACAATAAATTTGCTTCCAGGTTCTTATGTTTCACATTTCTTGGCAGATTTTCTATTATCACAACAGGATATTTCATAACAAAAGTGATGGCAACATAAACTAAAAGAAAAAAAAATCTAAATGAATTCAGCTAGATTATATAACCAAAACACAAAAAAAATTATTTTAAATTCTCAGTGTCTCTCTTGTTCATGCACACATGTAGTCACATCAACATAGTCTGATAAACTCAGAAAGGATGAAATGTCATATGAAAACCTTTTCCACTTTGTCATGTGTCTAAATTAGTATAGAAAATTTTAGCATCTTTTTGCAGTAAAAAACATTCGCTTGGAAATTCTTGTAAAAATCAAATTGTTGGATTTTAATTAAATTTTCAGGAATTATTCACAAATGAAAGATTTTTTTTTGTTTGTTTTTAGAAAGTCTTGGTAAAATTATTTAAAAAAAAAAAAAATTATTGTTACTCTACCACTTAATTTTATGAAATCTCAATCAATTTAAATTAGTTTTGAAATACACCAAATTATTTTCTTTATTAGAAATATTAAATTTAATCTATTAGCTTCAAATTAAAACTAAAATAAAAGCTTTTTCATTGTCAGAAATTAATTCTATACCTTAAGTATCATGAATCTATGGAGGTTCATAATACATACATACCTGCATGAATGCATACATACACACAATAAAATATATTCAAATAGTCACAGGTCATTTTATATTCTACATGTGGAAAAAATTGAATGAAGGACAATTATATGATTCAACTTAACTTTGCCTATGAGTTGGCCTGCATGACCAAATAAGGAATCAACAATATCAAACAAGCAAGGCCCCAGGGATATAGGATTCTTGTATATTGATGACTTATGAAACTTTGCACCATCCAAATATTACAAACAACTTTTCAGTTTAAAGAAATATTTATTAACAACTTAATTACAATAAGAGAAATATAGATATCTATGTACAAAATACATTTAGATTGCAATAAAGTAAACTTCTTGAAATTAAGCTGGCATCAAAGTTTAAATAACATTGATCTCAAGAATATATTAATTTCTTGATTATAAATTAACTTTTTATTAAAAATTAACTTATTAAAAAAAAAAAAAAACGTTCAAAGTAACTGATTTCTGTTTTGGTTCTAAACAAGTTTTAATTAAGCAACAGTTTATTTTTAGCATTATGTTAGAATATGTCAGTTTATTAAATCAAACTTTTAAATATGCACTTTTTTTATTATAACCTAATATACCCAATATTCTTGGAGAGGTTTAAGCAAATACTAAACACTGTCTATATAAAATACCTCTAAAAATTGTATCAAAAGTGCAGTAATAGACTATCATTTTGTCTTAAAATTTTTAAAATAAAAATAATGACAGGCTGAATTAAAGTAGATTCTTATATTTTACAAGACATATCTAAAACTATCAAAAAATGAGTTGTCTTTACTGCAACAGTAGTAAAACTAACTGTATACATACTGGAAAATAGAAAATAATTTCTCCCCACTTATGTTACCCCCACAACATAAAGTGATAGAATTGTCAAATGTATTGGTTTATTCAAACATAAGGATAAACTTATAGATTCTTAAAAGCAATGGATTAAGTTCAAATGGAATTTAAACCTAAAATCAGAACTACCAATTTCTGGATTATTCAGTCTATTAACATTGTTCTAATAATTACAAAAGTTTTGGTTTAAGACTTACTATACACTGCTATTTTAATTTTATGTCATATTAAAAGCAATTCTTATATAATTAATGTCTCATAAAATTACAAAATGTTTCAAAATGAAATCTTATGTTTTATCAGCTCATAAAAATTAAATTTATTTTAACAATGGATAAAACAGCAGATTTAATGAAACTGAAATCTTAAATGAAGTCCCCAAACCAGAATTGTTATCAGTGTATACATTATTGGGGAATACAACAGGGTGTGTGTGTGTGTGTGTGTGTATATAACATTACACACAGTATAATTTGCAAACTGGCTGTTAACTGCTATGTTTTTCTTTAAAAGAATACATTTTATAATAAAAATAAGCTAAAGGCATTACACATTTTTAAAATGATGTAATATCTCAAATTTTCACTATATCTGAGCGCATTTTTTGTGCAGAGATAATCTATGTAGATATCCTATCAAATTAATCAACAAGTCTTAATATTCTTTTTTACTAAAAAAAAAAAAAAAAAAGTAAAGAAAAATTTTGGTGTCTTGAAATTTCAAAGAGATCTGAAAATTTTTTTCTTTCAAATTTTCAACTACTTTCTAGAAACTTGAAATTTAAGCATTTATAATTTAAAATTATCAAATCTGAGCTTTACATCCTCAAATTGTATTAAATTGACATAACTTTTGTTTCTTCTTTAAGTTTTAACTAACATCAACTTGGCCCATAGTATTGAAAATAAATCTCACTAACCAAAGCTTTGTGGTTTAAGCAGTTTAAAAAATATTTAAAGTTAGACAACTCTGTACAGTTTTTCTAAATTGAACAAAAATTCTCATTATCACGAAAAAACACCAAAAATAATAATCATTCATATTTCAATGAAAAATATTTTTCCATCTTACAAGTTTTCCAGAAAATAAAATATGAAAAAGAATAAAAATCTCCTTTACCAAATAATTTTGAAAATACTTTATATTCAAATCTTTGAATTATTAAACAGTAGGTGTAATATAAGAATACAGAACCAAACAAACTTAATTTCAGACAAATGCAATTCTTTTGATGGCAAGATATTTCAATTATTTGCCACATGGAATTTATTAAAGCAAGTTTCATGTAATGGATCCTTGATTACACATTCTATCACACATCAATTTCAATAAAAATATTTGTGATATAAAGCTTTCAAATTGTATTCTAAATTAAGAAACAAATACACAAAGCTGCATAACATAAATATATTTGCAGAAATTAAATCAGTTTAATTGATTGTATATACAAAACATAAATAATGAAGAGACGGTCAGAACAGCCAGCTTAAGCAAATGTTAACAAATCATGGTGCATATGATCACTTCAACTATAGTTTATTTTCTCACCAGGATTTTTTAGGAAAAAAATAATAGCTTTGTATTTTACAAAAATGTCTTTACTGTCTTATATGTTGCTTTCCACATCTGCTAATTGAGATATGTTTAGCACTCACACACACTCACAAAACTTTTTAGATGAAAAAATTCTATTGAGATATTTGTGAAAAAGCTCTATAATTTATCTTTTATAAAATAGGGAAAAATATGTTAAAAAACATGTCAGCATTCATTCAATAAAATTTTTTTAATATTTTCTTAGCCAAACATGGAGTTGTGCAAATTATCCAGTTCAAAATCTCGTTGCTTCTTACGAGCCTGGAATAAATAAAAAAAAAAAAACATAAGATTATTTGAGATTTATTGAAAAGGCAAAATATTTGTTTAATTCAAAGATATCATCATGATACAAATGTGGCTCACAAGTTCATTTAATTTATAAATAAAAAAAAGAGAAGGATTGTGGAACTTTCAAACAAGTGTATTTATCTGGAACACAGAATCAAAGCAGTCAACCTCAATTATTATATTTCCTAATATTAATAACTTTATTTTTTTATCAATTATTAAATCTTTTAATAAAATTATTTCATCTGAATAAGATCTCAATTTGTAAAATATCATTGGCATTAACAATTAAAATCAAATAAGGATAATTTGTACAAAATATTTTAGTAAATGTTCAGATGCAGCAATAAAAACAAAAAAAAACAAAACATTGCCATAATCTTGGATTTTATGTAAACATAAATATTAGACAAACTACATATATAAAAACTGAAGTTAGCAGATTTATGCATTAACAACGTGTGCTACTGATCATTCTGTTAATTCTATATAACAGAACTAGTGACTAAATAATTATTTGCAAAGAAATATAATTATAAGATCAGTCATATTTGTATTTTACAAATTGTATGCAATAAGTTTAAAATTGATGCATAATATACAATATCAAATATATTTTGTTCTGCATATATCAAAGAAATAGTATAATATGCTCATGAATTTATAAAAATATAAAGTCAGTTACTTTGTATTTTCTGAATTCTTCATATGCAGGGTCATCAGTAGCAAATTCTTCTCTGCAAACTGGACATGTATTTACCTGAACAAAAAGTAGGATATTAAAATGCATTAATTCAAAGACAATAGCCATAGAAAGATAAGCATCTAATAGCTTTATTAAAATGCTTCTTTGGAGATTAAAAATATTGTTAAAATACTTTTTATTGAAACTGTCTTGAGCACACAAAACCAATAAACTCTTTGACATATCCTGTTTATATCAACAAGTAGTTAATGTTTTCATTTGCTAAGAGGACATCTCAAAAAAAGGTAAAAGCTTGTAAATGAATATTTCCCAAAACTTTTGAGTAACATTTTACATTAATAAATAACAAGTTCCCACGATTATTTATCAGGTGACATTCCAAGTGTACTTAAGGATTTTCATAATTTTGTTGATTATATCTGATCCTGAAGTTTAAAAAAAAAAAAAAAAAAAAACCACTTCACTTACCTTTTCCAACCATGGCAGAATACATTTAGTGTGAAACTGGTGTTTGCATAACAATGTTTTTACTTCATTGTCCTCTTCTAAATGCCCAAGACATACTGAGCATGTATTTTTTTTCTCTAATAAAAAGAAAAAAATGTGAATCATTTTTATAAAACATAGATCAGTAATTATTCATTTATATAAATGTTCTAAGACCTAAGAATATATATCAGTAAAAAAGTATTAAAGCTACAAAAAGAATAAGCGCAATATATATGTTTCATTATGCATTGTTTAGAAAATGACTGTACTGAATTAAGCTTTGAACAATTATAATACAATAAGTAACATGCTAGTCTTGTAAGCTAGATATAGTGAGTTCTTTTTTCATGTTTAGTGTTTTATGACTGTGGCTTTGTACCATGTTTGACATATCTTTATTGAATGAAACTGGGCTATTAATACAACAAAGCTATCTTTTTAGCACACCCTTACTGTCACTCATATTATTCAGTCACTTTTGCTTACATTTGGATGTAGTTACTCCATACTTATGAAATGAATATGTTAATATTACATCATTTAAAAATACATATACAAAAAATAAAGGAATCAATTATGTTGCTTGTTAAAGAGAATAAGAGGTCATGTTAGGTACACTTTTTTCTTTGAAATCACTGCAATATAAAACAAACTAATCAAAAAGTGCAGGAACAAATATACACACACACTAGCAACTCAAGGTTTCAGGCAAAAAATACATCTGATTTTTTTTATCAAAGAAATAAAATCAACTCAGCACTATAAAATCTAAATCAGGTCCCCAACCGCTGGGTCATGGACTGGTACTAGTCCATCATTTGCTACTGGACCACAAAGAAATAATTAATTTGTTTAAAATTACATAATAGGTAAATTGAATATTGGACTTTAATCTAATGATTTTTTTAAATATTCACTCAATACTATCCATCATAACTCCAAGTGCATTTTACAATTAATGTATATTTTTATTTATTTGTAATAATTTCAACTAATTTTCTAACCCCAACTAATTTTCAAGTTCTATACTGATTCTACATTATGGTGAGTTGATATTAATGTGATAATAGTATAATAGGCATTAATTCAGGAAAACTAAGCATACAAATGTGTGGTCGAGCAGGAGCCAAGACAAGTCAAAAGATTATACACTTTCTCTTCCCTTTAATAAATTGCTCTTTTATTACTTACTTTATTGAAATGTACTTAAATTACACATATGTGCCACTACCAGCCCATGGAAAGATGGACCAGCTACATGCTGGACAGTGCATAAAATATAAAAAAGGTTGGAAACCACAGATCAAAATTATTTGTTACTTGAAGCAATATTTAGTTTTCATGAAAAAAATTACCTGCTTCTTCTTTTGTTATTATCTGAGTTGGCAATTCCTCAATTACCTTTTTGGCTGTAGGGTAAGGTCCCAAACCATCACTGGAAAGAAAAGTAAGTATTAATACAAATTATGCAGAGTAAACAACAATATCTTCACTGTAATTTGCACATGATTATTCTGTTTATTTGCAGATGAATAATTTGGATATGTAGAACTTGAAGCAAGGACATCTTGAAATTAACTGTCAAAAAGAAAATGTGGTCCAATTCCTCTTAAAGATCCAAACAGGATTGGTTTGAATTTGTTTCAAACTCAGCATTTACATAGTTAACTGAAGAATGTTCTTAAATGCTTTTTCTAAATGTTAGCAATTTTATCTTCATCTGACACCAGAGTTGTAAATTATAAGAAGAGAGAAAAATTCCACATTCACAAGCTTAGCTATTTTCTACACAATAAACAATGTTAATTAACATTAAGCAAGTTGAACGACAATACTTTTTAATCCTAAATGAAAACAATATTTTTGAAAATTGAGAAATTTTTTCTGGTTTTTCTCCAAATTTATTTAATGCCTTAAAATGTAAAGGCCTGAAACAGTACATAAGATCTAAGCTGTGATTATAGTCTTTATAAAGAGCAGAAAATGTTCAGTACAGGTGTAAATGCTGATGGTAAGTTAAAGTGTTCTTTCTGATTTATCATTCCATCCATTTTTGCTTGTGTAAACAATTACAAGATACTTTTCTTTCTCTATTACCTTTATCCATTTCATTGTTATTTGAAGTGTTAACAGTGTGAGGACATAAAACAATGTAGTGAAAGTTAATGGCTCTTCAAAAAGCACTTAATTGTTCTTTTCTCTGTAATTGATGTGCATCCTGGTATTTAAGTTCTATATTAGATCTCCACAATTAAAAAACATGAATGGTCATACTGCTGACACAAAATTATACCCATGTCACAAGAGTAAATTTGAAGAGTATATTATTGTAAAAAAAAAAAGAAAAGAAAAAAAAAAGAAACACAAATGCAATAATGCAGCCCAAAGAAGGCATATCTTAATCAAAAACAAAGAATGTACATTGCTTTTTGGTAATAGTTAAACAGACACTGACTATTTTTGTTTTTTTTTTTTTACTAAGAAAAGTTTAGATTTAGTTTTTGATACTTTGCCACATACATTCTTAACTTAAATCACTAGTTATGTGATATTTTTATATAGACATTACAACATTTAAGATTTCTGAGAGATTTATTATAACTCAATAATAATAGAGTGGTGTTGGAAAAGGGGATTGCTTTTTCAGTCTTGTATTCCTTCAACAACTAACATAAAAATATAAAGTCATATTTTTCAATTTTCCCCAGTGAATGCACTTTCTTTAAATGGAAGAAAGGGGCAGGCCAGCTCTCTCTGTAATCTGCACACTTATTCCCATTACTTATGCAAAATCATTTTTTTCTTCATATCACTACATTGTTGCAAGCCTAAATTTGATTTAACTTTAGTCTGGATGAAATCACTGAATAAATGTTCTGTGCCAAATAAAAACATATCTATATAGAGAAGAGGGTGAGAAAATTTTGTTTCTATAAACATTTAAAGGCATCGGGTTCCTAGATCGTTTGTGTCGTGAACCGGATGAGGAGGGCGCCTTCTGGAAAGAAGATGCCTGTAGAAATTTCCCCATCCTTGAGAAGTGTGCTCTCGTGCGAGGCGGAGGCCCACCATTAACCCCAAGCCGAGTGCTCCTTCTACCGTGAATGTCATCTTGCTCTGAAACGCCTCTTATGGGCGTCGGATGACCTCTCCAACGTCCAGGCGCTGTCTCGTAGGGCATTATATCAAGTGTTAGTTAGGGGGGCCGTTCATGATGATTTGATTGACGAGCTCAGTCTTACAAAGCTCGATCTGGCCTTGGGCTCCCGGGTTGAAATGTCTCAATAACGATGAGGCATCCCTCACCTGGCTGGTGATGTGTGGGGCCTTCTGGGTTGTCAAAAAGCTTTGCACAGCGGGTTTGGAGAAATATCCAAACTGCCGACATTTTAGTGGGGAAGTCGAGACCCTAGGTCACGTCTTCTTTCATTGCAAGTTGGTAGCTCTGTTGTGTAAGTTTGTTGAAGGCCTCATGGTTCGCATGTTGCACGGAAAGTTCTTTGTCCTTGAGGCCTCTTCTATTTGTAGCAATGTGGCACCACCGTTGACGAAGGCTGAACTTTACGTGTTCCACTGCTTGCTAGGAGTTATGAGAGTCATGATTTGGCCGACACGTCAGAAGGGATTCTATGGAGGTGAGAAGTTCACCTCTTCCCAACTGATCTTGTACTTTATGCATCTGCTTAAAGTCAAGATTAGGATGGAAAGGCGGCAACTCTCTTCATCAGAATTCGGCAAAAGGTGGGTAAATCTTGCGCGATTGTGTAGAGTGAAAGGGGCTGACCTGGAGTGGCACTTGGATGTTGGTTAGGTACAGGATTTTGTCCTATCAGGGTTGAACAGAGGCAACCTGCCCTGATATTAGGCTAGTTTAGTTTTTTTAGTTTGAATCTTTAGTTTCCCGTTTCTGGTTAACTTAGCTAGGGTATGCATGCTCATTGGTCCCTTTTATTTCTGTCCCTATTTTTCTTTTGTTTAATTCCCCATCCCTCCCTCGTTAGGTTATCAGTGATGTCAGTTCTCTGGTTGTTGCGGGATGACTTTCATTTCGTATGTGTGTTTTCGTATTTGTTATTGTCTAAATGAGTGCGTGTTTGTGGGTGTGCTCAGTTTTTATAATGTTATAATACCGCAATTATTTCGTCCAGTTAACTGATGTTTCTGCCACATTTAAGGATTGTGGGGGTTTTATTACTAACCCTATTTTGTTTTATGTAAATAGTATTAAATCATATTGTAAATAATCATTGGGGTTTTTAAATTGTTGTCCCCACCCAGACTTTTAAATGTACATATGGGGACTAGTTAGGATTTCATAGAGAATTTGAGGTATTATGGTGAACGCAGTAAGAAAGGTAGGAGTGAATGTGTTGTTTTGGTGATAGGAATATTGTTGGTATGTTTGTGTCTGTGACTAGCTAAGTTTAGATTTAAGACAGAAGAAGACCATCCTTCCCCAACCCCCTTTTTGGCCTTGTGCCATATTTTGTACAAATGTACAAATAAATAACTATAAACATTTAAAGGGCTTAATTCAATACAAAGACAATGAAATATTGGTTTAATAAAGATAAGTTTCAAGAAAACTGATCAGTTGCCAAATTTATTCTGATGAACACAAAAAAATTAACTATTACTGACTCCTGTGACTTTTCTTTTCTGAATTCTCTCATTAATAACAGTATGATAATTAAACATTAATAAGAAACAATACTGTTTTATATATATATATATATATATATGTGCGCTATTTTGCAATGATAAATAATACAAGGTATCTCCAAAATGCATGTGAACTTTCAATAATAAAAATGCTACCCACTTTTAAAATTTACTAAAATTCAGGAAATTATCAGATTTAAGTGAAATTATTGTGAACATTTAATTTTTTTAAGAGGGGGGGGGATTTTTTTTTTATAGTCATATAAAGAAAAATTACTGAAGATGTTATTTCAGTAAGAAAAAAAAATTAAAAATTGCCAAATCAACTGTGAACATACAGAAAATTCGTCCAAAACTTTACAAAAAATAAAGAAAAAGAAAATTCAATAAAACCCAAATACGGTTAAAGATAATTTATTTGTAAACATAAAGAATACCAGCTTCTAGATTCTATTCTAGCTAGTACCTTTTGTCCTCCGTCTTATTACTAATTAATTCACTTACGCGCGGTTTTTCAAAATAGGAACAACAGTAGAAGACTACTCTTGTTGAACTATAACCTTGAAAACAGCTCACAAGGCTACCATGCGTATATAAATTATATTTTTCGCTATGTTTAATTTTTTTTTTTTTTTAAATAAAATCCTGCTAATTTACATTGAAACAAATATTGAACTTTTAAATTTGTTTTCATTTTTGTTAATAATGTGGATTTGGTGAGTGACTAATGAAACAAATTTCTAAAATGAAAAACGATGTCACTACCACTTCCATGAATTCTTTCACATCAGTACTTAGCTAAACTTTTTCTTAGAAGGCGTGTTTACTGATAATGTTAAATGATCCTGTGTTTCTGTTATATTACCTTCCCATTGTTGTTAGCCATATGTCATCAGCAAAACCAAAACGAAGTAATATTCTAAAATAGAAAGAAAAATGTCAGTTGAATTTTTGTCACAGAATGGGAGAAAAGAAAAGTAAGAGAACAAAATTAGGAAAAACAAAAAACTCAATACATCAAAGATTCATAAAGAAAGAGTAAACACTTGAGAAATGTAACGTAAAAATAAAGAAACAAACAAACAAAAAAAAAAAATCTTAATCACGACATACTCATCATAACATAAAATTCGTCAACACCTGTGTCGGTTTGGAAACTAATGAAGTTTATTTAGTTCTGCTGCATGGTTTCACTTTCTTCATCATTCATATACTGTCCTCGTCCAACAAAGACCTAATGATGAAAAATTGCCAGTTTCCTTCCTTACAATGCAACAAGCCTATTGAAGTGAATAAATAAATTTTAAAGGCTTTTAGTTTAAAACTGAAAATTGAAGGAAGACTTTCGGAGAATGAGAAGACATTGCTGATATTCTGTTTTTAACCTTCAAGATGAAAAAAATAATGAAATCAATCCCACTGGCGATTTTTTTTTTTTTTTTAATATAATCATATTTTTGCGGAACTTTTAAGAAAAAATACGTTTTTGTTGTCACTTTTTTTGTGTACACTTTAACTAGAATAGTACGTTTTTTTTCAAATGCTTTAGTTTTCCTGGTCAAAACAAACGAAGACAAGAGATTGGATTTTAAAAAGTTACAAAATTATTGTTACTGTTTGATTTTTAGGGTCTCATTTTTTTTTTTAATTTTTATAACGATATTTGCCTTGAGTAGTAGTGTGTACTGTAGTGAGTGTAACAAATTCATCTTGTAACACTAAGTTTATTTGCTATTTTTTTTAACCAACCATTTCTTTGGTGAGTATTAGTTTAACAGCACAAATATCCCTTTAAAACCTATTTACTTTAACTCAAACATTAGGTATTGCGGATTAAAACTGCTAACCAAAAAATCTGAATTTTTTTCTTTTTTTTGACTTTTAAATTATCAACTCGTAAAGTAAATCAATATCACTAAAATTTAGGGTCTAAAAATCTTTACCACAATAAATAAAAAACGAAAGAAATCTTAATCTGCAATTAATTTTAATAGCTGATGAATCTTCTCAAGATAGACAAAATTATTTTCAATCTTTGTAAAAAATAAATGTAAAGGAATTTCAAATTAAATTTTAAAATCTAAATAAATTGCAAAATGTTATTATTATTATGTGTTTTAGTGTTTGTTTGCGAGTTTTGAATAATTGAAAAACAAAATGATTAAATCGAAAAAGAATATTAGCTAAAAATAAACAAAATTATAAAGTACTTATAATTTTACTTTTTAAAATGATAACCATGACAAGTCTTTCATTCACATGACAAGCATACACGTCCTAAATTCAAAATCAAAATAATTTAGTTACTTGTACCTTGCCATCACCAAAGGAAGTTCGTCTGATGTCAGGTTTTCTGACAGTTCATTCACACCGTGATCATCGAAATATGAAGCCATTAATGATAAAAATAAATGCTTTCGTACTATTTAATATTACAAAAATATTTGTTTATACAAAACCGTGATGAGGCAGTTTTCACACTTCCGTGTTGGAAATAAAAAGGGAGATAATCACTACTCGCTTCAAAACACCATTCTTATGCCATTCATTAAAATATATTGCCGATTGTATCACGAGATTTCGATAAACTATTTCGCTATTTTTTTTTTAATTTCTCCTGATAGCTAAATATTTTTTTTTGTTGTTTCAAATAAATTAATTTTATTTTTTTAATGTTGGGGAGTTTCTCATGATGATTTGTACAGGATGTAAGCGGCGTGGCTGATGGCGGACCAAAACATTATGAAGACTATAAAAGACCAACAAAATCAAGCTAAAAGTCAAACAGAATCAGGTAAAATCATTACTTGAATGTTAAAATAAATTTGTTTTGATATTCAGGTTAGACGAAAGTCATGTTGCATGCTGGATAAATTCATTTATGGGGAATTCAGCGTCTGATTTTGAATATGCTCAAGAAATCGATTATTGTAGATGTTATGAGTGTGGTGAGTCGCTTGTCGCTGTTACATGAATATAAATTTGCAAATTTAATTGTTAGTATGTAATATATAAATTTAAAGTTTACATTAACTTTCGGCTTAAAGTAATCATTTTGAAATATTACTAAACTTTAAGACTAACTAATGCTAACTTTTGTCTAAAAATAAACCTTTCTTTGCAACACCTTTGGACTCTATCGATTTGTTTTTAAAACTGATTTGTTAAAAATTATTGTATTATTACCTTATTTCTTAACTTATGTGTAGTTTTCAAGCATTTAATAACCTTTTTTTTTTTTTTCGTAAAAACACTGCAAATTAACCTTTTGTTTTCTTTGAAAAGAGTGAAAATATGACAATTTAAGTTACGGTTTTTTAAAATATCATCCAGTTGGTAGAAGATGGGGGGAAAAAAGCCAAAATTAAGACAAAAATAAATGTTCATTTCAGTATCTACACTCAATACCTGGATTTTTTTCTACCAATTATTGCGCAAGTACTTTTAATTAAAGAATTTGTGAGTTTTCTTTTACTTTTACATTTTTAAATGAAAGCCTAGCTCTTCTTTTTTGTGGTTATGTTTCTAAAAATTGATTACAAACAAGTAAAAAAAAAAATTAAAAAAATAATCAAATTTGAATGTTGTTTAAAAAAAATCTTTTTTATAACATTCATACCTTAAATGAAAATTGAATACTTTGATAAAAAAAAAACCCCAAAAAACTGCCTGATGGACTGATATGACTATCCCAAAAATGTACGTTTCAAAGACACCACCAACAAAAAATGGATTTTTTTTTTTCCGAAATGGAAAAGGGTGAAAAATCGCTGCCCTATTTACTAAAATTCAAGGTATTATTCAATTCAAACGGAATTTTCTCTTATTCATTAATGAATGAATTGTGTTGTACTGAATATTAGAAAACTTTGTAGAGTCCGTTTCATTTACTCCCCCCACTTTTCGATATCTCGTGTGTAGTTTAATTTTTTAATTTGGGGGTGGGTGCAAATTCTTTTACAGTTAATGGAAAATCCCTTACGATGTTATTTCAGTAAAAAAAAATAATTTGCAATCAAGTGTGAACGTCCAGAAAATTCTTCCTGATTCTTACCAAAAGTAATTCAATATAAAATTCAAAAAATAAAATTTTTCTGACAGTTTGTGCTTGAATAATTTTTAATGAAACGTTATTTTCTTTCAGATTTGATAAAAAACAAAATCTACACTTAAAAAAAGGAAAAGTAATTGCAATGTTTCAGTGCGATTTTGAAATTCATCCCGTTGCTATTTGTCAGAATTCTTGTTATATATGATATATGATAATTCAATAACTTTTAAATTCAGAATAATTAAAAAAAACTAAAAAAAAACTACATTGGGTGCAGTTAATGTCAAAGAGGTATTAAAATAAAAGCAATAATTTAAACTCAAAAGAGCCATTTAAAATAAAAATACTTGTAGTATAAAAAATAAAATTCATTCTAAGTTTCATAAGAAAGATCATATACAATAAAAAAAAATTACTCTTAAAGGTTAAAGATAATTTATTTTTTAAACATATAAAAGTTGTGTGAATATGTTTAAATTTAAAATTTGTTAGATATTTTAACATTTAAGTTTAACAAATGAGTAAAATAATTTTTTTTTTTTTTTTTACATTTCAATGGATATCTTATAAATAAAAATTGTACAAACTTTCCACCCTTTTTATGAATTAAATTTTCAAGCATGTTTTTATACATATCTCTCATAAATGTTGAAAAATGTGCAACATAGAAAAGTGGGGGGGGAGAGATGCATATCTTTTTATGGAAACTTGCAACTCATTTAATTCAAATACATAATATCAACTTCCAGACTTGAGAATTTTTAATCTTTTAAAGTGATGTATGCTTTAGAGCTGTGTTTGGGGGCTAGACAACAATTAAGATCATAAAAATTAGTGCTTCTATAAGATTTACTGTCTTATTACAAAATATCTTAGGAAATATTTTCTTGTCCATTAGCATCAAATCCCTTGTTTCTAGATAATCACAAAATATTGAAAATTCATCTAATACTTCCCAACTACCTTCATATCTGGTTAATAAAACATGCTAATTTATTTTTAAAATTAAGCATGTAAAACAAAAATTATCAAAGCATTTTATTTACCCCTTGTTTTTTACTACTTAGATAGCAACAGAGTTAATGAAGCCATGGATTCTAAAGAAACTCCCCCAGCTGATGTTGTACGTCTCTGCCAAGAAACCATGGCTAAAACAGCAGAGTATTTGAGAGGAGAATTGGAAGGTGAGTATTTTTAATTCATTAATCAACTCTATTTTCAGATGATATATAAAGATTTAGGAGATTATCCAAATTCATTTTCATATTAATTCATTTTATTTTTCACCATTAACAAGCAACAGATTTGCATATCCCCTTAGTTCAGAATCTAAGTATATTAGTTACAAACAAGGTTAATTATTTTGAATCTCACTGGAAATTTAATATAATCCATCTAGCCACTTTAAAGGTTATCAAAATATTTACTTAATTGTTTAATTAAATGCTTCTTACATTCTGCAGAATTTCTACCACACACAAGATGTGCTGAAAAGTTCTAGGCCCATCTTACTTCCCAAAATAGGACAAAAAAATCAGATTTTTTTCAGCACCTCTTCATCTGTAAAGACAAGGAATATTGTTTAATTTTTTAGCCAACATTTCTTTTCATATAAGAGATCATTTGTCCAGATCCAATAATGTAAATATTGTCCAAATATATGAGATCTGGCACTTTCAATTATACTCTTGATCTTTAGGGAAAATACTATTCATTTTAATTCTGCATTTGTCAATATGATGTACAAATAAAAAATCAAAGATTCCAAAGTATTTGAAAAATGAATAACATCCAGAGTTTTTATTTTTTTTTTATTTTTTTTTTCCTTAATTGATTACTGCATGAGCCAGGGAACATTGCAAATCAACTGTCACATTTTTTACTTCTCTCCTTAATATTGAAAATTATTCAAGGTTGTGTGTGAAGACAATCATATGAGGATATGGGTTCAGCCTGTCAGCAGGATGTTGTGTAAGCTAGTGATGACACTTCTATAATGGTGTGAACTATTGAAGATTACGAGGACTAGACTACTATTAAAACTAGAGCCTGTCTTAACTGTTCATGTTGCAGACCATTTACCTCCCTTTGTTCTTGCCATGTTTCCTGTTGATGATGCTTTGTTCTAGCAGGATAATGAAACCTCATATTAATCATGCATGGATGACGCAAAACTAGTTCCACGAACATTCTGATGATTTCCAGGTACTCCATTGGCCTTTGTGCTAGTGAGATTTAAAATTCATTTAGTATATATGGAACATGTTGAAGACGTTACTAAATCTCCTGCAGTTACAACCAACATATATTAATTTTGCATTTTTATCAGTTCTTATCAACTGAGAATAGGTTGATAAATTGTGCTCTAATAGACATATTTCATGTCAAAATCAGGAAAAAAAATTATTAAAAGATAATTTATTTCCTGTGAAGCAAAATGTACAAACAAATGTAATTTAACGTGTATATATATATATATATATATATATATATATATATATATATATATATATAATTTTTTTTTTTTTTTTTTTTTTTTAAGGAACTGCTGAAGAGTATAAACTCCTTGAACAAATGAATCAAGTCACTATAAACAAATATTCTGAGATGAAACATATAGCCATGAATATCAGCCGTGCCATGGTTGAACTGGATGATAAGTGTAAGTATATTCATGAAAACAATACTTCAAGGAAATATTAGAAATAAAGATAAACAAAGGAAAAAGATCCTTTTGTGTAAATCTGTGATGGCAAAAATATCCTGAATCTAAATATATTAAAAATTTGAAATGTATTAAAAAAATATTTTGTAGGACAATTCAAAAATAAAACCAGTCAGGAGACAGTCTTTAACCTTTAAACTCTAATTTAGTAATATCTTATTGCTTGATGTTTTGAGATACTGTTAATGGTTATTATTCAGTAATATTTTATTGTTATTTCTGTTACTGTTTCTGCTTGCTACCTAGCGTGGCCTTGAGATCTTCCTCAGGTAAATATTTAATAATTTATGAGAAAAAATGATTTCAAAATATTTGAATACTGATTTTTTTTTTTTTTTTTTTTTTTATATTAAAGAAAATTGAATTCTAATGGGGAAAACTTGCTTGGCTGACTTTACTGGAATAAATTTCACAATTTACCCTACTTGTCTAGTTTTTATACTTTAAACTTTGATCAGTATTATTTATAAAATAAAAAAAATTACTGAGTTTGAAATTGTATGTTGCTTTTTTTTTTTCTCTTCTTAAGCACATTTTCAATATTTAAACTTAGCTTTCACAATTAAAAAAAAGATATTTGTTCATTGAATGTTATCTAAATATTCTAAAAGTAGCCTTTA